GATGATAAGCAACTACTACACAGTGAGGCCAAGGTGAGGTGACATGAAGGGCTGGGTAAGGAGGTGGGGGTGGAGTGAAGCATGGGAATAGGGAGCAGTCAGTGGTCTCCTTCAGAGGCAATCAGATGCTGCACAGTAAGTTCAAGGAGAGGAACCTGGAGATGCCAGAAATTCAAGTTCAGAAAGCAACAAGGAAAAGAATGATTGAGAACTTGGGGTTTAGAAGTGCTGAGAAACCTTGTGGAAGTCAGCTGGTGACACTTTTGCCTTTAATTCCCCAGACTCCAATTAAGTGGATGGCCCTGGAGAGTATCCACTTTGGGAAATACACACACCAGAGTGACGTCTGGAGTTATGGTCAGTCCATTTGGATACCCTCCATACCATCACTGGCCCAAATTCCGTTGTTGCCTTTTGAGAGACCCCTTTTTAGAATTTCTAAGCCTTCCACATCCTTGTGTTAGATCGAGTTCTGCTTTCCCTTCATCTTCACTCCCATGTCTACTATTTTGCCATCAACTAGTCATGTCTTCCTATACCAGGAGTGACAGTTTGGGAGCTGATGACCTTTGGGGCAGAGCCCTATGCTGGGCTACGACTGGCCGAAGTACCAGACCTGCTAGAGAAGGGGGAGCGATTGGCACAGCCCCAGATCTGTACCATTGATGTCTACATGGTCATGGTCAAGTGTGAGTTACCTGCCGATCCCAGCCATTTCCTTCCTTCCTCCCTTCCTTCCTTCCTTCCTTCCTTCCTTCCTTCCTCCCTCCCTCCTTCCCTCCCCAGCTCCCTCCCTTTCTTTTTAGATTTATCTATCTATTTGAGAGAGAGAGAGTGAGAGAGCTCTTGGGGGGGGGTTGGGCGGCAGAGGGAGAGAGAGTGAGAGTCCCAAGCAGGTTCCACACTGAGCAATGAGCCTGATTCTTGACTTGAGCTCATGACCTGAGCCGAAACCAAGAATTGGGGCTTAACTGACTGCACCACCCAGGTGCCCCCCCAGCCATTTTCTAACTGACTTCCCTCCCTACTCCACTCCCTTCTTATGGCTCTGTCTACATCTTACCCCCAGGTTGGATGATTGATGAGAACATTCGTCCAACCTTTAAAGAACTAGCCAACGAATTCACCAGGATGGCCCGAGACCCACCACGGTATCTGGTCATAAAGGTGAGCAGTGATTCGGAGTTGTCAAGGAGATCTAGAGGCATGGGGACTTGGCTGGGACTAGGATCCACCTTAACAATCACCTGTCCCTACAGAGAGAGAGTGGGCCTGGAATTCCCCCGGGAGCAGAGCCCCCTGCTCTGACAAACAAGGAACTGGAGGAGGTGGAGCTGGAGCCAGAACTGGAGCTAGACCTGGACCTGGAGGCAGAGGAGGATGGTCTGGCGGCCACACTAGGCTCTGCCCTCAGCCTGCCAGTTGGAACACTTAATCGGCCCCGTGGGGTAAGGCATTTCCCAGCGTTTTGAGACTTTCTGCACCCTGAGCCGTCTACCTACCTGCACCCTCATGAACCCCACTGATGCCTAGATTAACTACTCAAAGACCCCCATGGTGAGTAGATTTCTCCCTTAATCTAAAGCTCTTCCTCACGTTTTTCATCCTAGAGCCAGAGCCTCTTAAGCCCATCTTCTGGATATATGCCTATGAACCAGGGTAATCTTGGGGAGACTTGCCAGGTAAGGTCTGTCTCTTCAAGGGGCTGCTGAGAGGCTGGCTGGCAGTGTCTTAGGATCCATAGGGGCAGTGTGGGATACTTTAGAAATCTTTGAGGTTTCATCAGTGCCCCACAAAAAAGAAGGCATTGAGCAACCCAGTCTTCTGAACAAATATCTCTTTCCTTGTCTCTGTGTAAATCTCCATGGATTATTCTCCTCCTTAGGAGTCTGCAGTTTGTGGTAGTGGTGAGCGGTGCCCCCGGCCAGCCTCTTTGCACCCAATGCCACGGGGACGCCTGGCATCAGAGTCCTCAGAGGGCCACGTGACAAGTTCTGAGGCTGAGTTCCAGGAGAAGGTGTCAATGTGTAGAAGCCGGAGCCGGAGCCCACGGCCACGTGGGGACAGTGCCTACCATTCCCAGCGCCACAGCCTGCTCACTCCTGTCACCCCACTCTCCCCACCAGGGTTAGAGGAGGAGGATGTCAATGGATATGTCATGCCGGATGCACACCTCAAAGGTGCCTGACTCCTCTGAGAGCTTCCCTCAAATCCTTCTCTGATCCCGTCCCCGGGCTCCTCTTAATCCTTCCATCTTCTCTGATCTTACCCCTTCCTTTTCAGTTTTTCCTAACCTTCCCCAACCCCCCAGCGCCTGCCCCCATGTTCTGCACATACCTCTCCTCTCTTCTCAATCCCCAGGTACTCCCTCCTCCCGGGAAGGCACCCTTTCTTCGGTGGGCCTCAGTTCTGTCCTGGGTACCGAAGAAGAAGATGAAGATGATGAGTATGAATACATGAACCGGAGGAGAAGGCGCAGTCCGACTCGTGCCCCTAGGCCCAGCTCTCTTGAGGAGCTGGGTTATGAGTACATGGATGTGGGATCAGACCTCAGTGCTTCCCTGGGCAGCACACAGAGTTGCCCACTCAACCCTGTGCCCCTCATGCCTGCTGCTGGCACAACCCCAGATGAGGACTATGAATATATGAATCGGCGACACGGTGGAGGAGCTCCTGGGGGAGATTACGCAGCCATGGGGGCCTGCCCAGCAGCTGAGCAAGGGTATGAAGAGATGAGAGCTTTCCAGGGGCCTGGACACCATGCCCCCCATGTCCATTGTGCCCGCCTCAAAACTCTCCGTAGTTTAGAAGCCACTGACTCCGCTTTTGATAACCCTGATTACTGGCATAGCAGGCTCTTCCCCAAGGCTAATGCTCAGAGAACATAACCCCTGCTCCCTGAAGTACCCAGGGAGCATTTCATGGCAGCTAGTGCCTCTAGAAGGTACCCCTCTTCCCCTTAGTCCCTCCCTCACAGGTCTCAGCCCTATTTCCCCAGTCCTAGACAATTCCATTCAACCTCTGGAGGCTTTTAAACACTTTTACACAAAATTCTTGTGAGATGTAGCCAGCTGTGCACTTTCTTCTCTTTCCCAATCCCGGGAAAGGAGATTTCCCCTATTTTGTGTGATTTCCTAATCCCATTCCTCTGCTTCCTCAGGGGGACTCCCTGGAGATATGAAGGATTACTCCCATGTCCCTTGCTCTCAGACTCTGACTTGTTGAGATTAGGCTTTAAAGTGTGCTTTTGTTTCCCACCAGACTCCTAAGGAAGAGGAAAAGCGGGGTAACCTGGCAGGGAAAAGTAAAATTTTGGCTGATGACTCAGCCCCCTGGGAAGAATGGAAAGCTTCAAATCTTGAGTGAAGAGGTTGGGCATAGATATTAAGGAGTACTATTAATTGAGCATTTACTATGCCACCTGATCCAATTAGGTGGATTATCTCACCTAATCCATACAACAATTCTGTGGGCTAGGTATTATCCCATTTCACAAATAAGGAAACTTAAGTAAATTAAGTGGTGGGTCCAGGATTCAGAATCTTCCAATGCAGGTTTACTCACTGTAAGGTATCAAGGCAAACTGATACAAGTCAAAGTTCTTGTAAAGGGCATTGTCTTCTTCTTTTTGCACTGAATCAAGTCTAACCCCAACAACCACAGCCTCCTCCTACACCCAGGCTTATCATCTCAGGAAGTGGGGGGGGGAAGGGGGTGGTGGGAAGGAAAAATAACTGGACATTTTTGTGTAAACCATAACCTATATGTGCTGTAAATGATCACTTCTTACCCAAGGGACAGATTCACAATTGTCCCAAGAGCCACTTTTAGGGTCTATTCTCATCCAGTAGTGGGAAACTTCCAGTTGGGATAGAAAGAGGACCCAGCTTCAGGCCTTTGTCCCTTTGGATGGGAAACGGGGTATCTTGTATCACTGAAGATTTTTGTTTTGTTTTTATACACACCTGAATAAAAATGCCGGTTTTTCAGCTTCCTGTCTGTCAAATGAAGAAAACCTTTAGTGTGTAAGATAAATCACCCCTTTGCTCCTCAGCAGTGGATAGCCACCACCACATGCTGCTGTCTTCTGACACTCCTGTTCTGCACCTTGCACCTTTCTCCAGCCCTACTCCTCTGTATTCACTGAAGACAAGCATAGCGCACAGTCCTTTTCATTGAAGGCTTTTACTAGAAATCTCTACAGGACAACCAACTGGGAATAACAAAAACAAAACCCACGTCTGGGAAAATATGAAAAAGCCCTATAGATGTGGTGCCTCAGGAGGTGGAACACTGAAACTCCCATGTTTCAGAACTCTTATTCTTTTGAAAAAGTCTGTTAAGAACACTTCCCCCTAAGTGCCATCAAAGCCTACTGTTGGAACAATAGTGCCATCTTCAGTGGGAGTCTGGCCTCTAGATTGGGAGGCTGTAAATGAATAATCCCGCCGGAGTCTAGCTGCCCAGTTAGCCCCGGCTCGTTGCTCCCTTGGTCTCCTTGGCAGGCTCCCATCGCTCCTGCCGCTCTCCGTTCTCCCAACATCGGAGGATGATTGGACCGGCTGAGCCGGTCCCGCCAGCCGCTCTGGGGATCCGGGGAAGGGCGCACCCAGCCTCGCCGCCCTTACCGTAGTCACTCCCGCACCGCCGAGACTCCACCCTGCCCAGCTGCCTCTACTCCCGTGGCCCCGCCGTAGCTCCGCCCCTTCTCCCTTTAGCCCGCCCCCCTCTATTACGGGTTCTCGCTCAGTGCTCCTGGTGGATGTGGTTTTTCCGGGAGAGACCACGCTTCCCCTCAGGCTCGCCAACGGCTCCGCCTTCCCGCCGGAGCCTAACCCTTCCCAGCGTGCTCGGCGATTCCGGCGTGCGAGGCCCTCGGAGGGCAAGGCCCCAGGGCCTGGCTTAGGGGCGCGAAAGGCGGGCTGGGAATTGTAGTTCAAGAGTCCGCAAGGTCGGCTAGAGGCGGTCGGTAGAAAGGACTCGTTGTCCCAGCGTGCCTTGCGCCTCAGCCCGCGCGCTCGAGCTTCTCGCTCTCGCTCGCTCGCCCGCCCGCTCCCCTGCTAGCTCGCGCTTTTGCTCGCGCTCTCCTCGCGGATCGAAGGGGCTCTAGCCACAGCCTGCGGCTGGGACGGGAGACAGAGGCGGCGGCTCAGGAAAAACGAGGCTGCAGTGGTGGTGGTGGGAAGATGTCGGGCGAGGACGAGCAGCAGGAGCAAACTATCGCCGAGGACCTGGTCGTGACCAAGTATAAGATGGGGGGCGACATCGCCAACCGTGAGTGCGGGCCTCGGGGGTCCGGAGATCGAGGCTGAGAGGGGGAGGCAAAGGGGACGGTGCTGGGCTGGCTCTGGAGGGGCTGGAGCGGAGGGGTCATGCAGAGTGAGCTACTGAGGGCCCCGCTCCCGTCCGCTGGGGGTGGCGTGGTGGGAAGACTCCGTGTTGCGCCTGGGACCTGTGCCGCCAGGCCTGGGCTGGAGTCTGGGGAGGTGCGGGCCCGCGACCGGGAAGAGCGCAGAGCGGGGGCCCCCAGCCGGCTCGGACCTTAGGCCGTTAATCAGGAGGCAGGGCGCATCCTCAGCCCATCACCCTTCGGTCCGGATCCCTGCCTCCTCTGATTCTGGCAGCGGCGAGGCCACCTCGAAAAGGAGGCGCCCAGCTGTTGGCGACGGAAGCGCCCCTCTATTTTGTTTTGGCGTCCCGGCGTCTGGGGCCCGGCCGGCACGTGTCGCCGGGTTCCCATGCGGATCGCCGGCTCCTTCTTCCTCTGCTACCGTTCCTGACACCAGCTTCCCTACCACGTGCTTTGCTGGAGTCTTTCGTTTTTTACTTCAGCTCCTTCGCTGGTGGGGGCCCCCTTCTACTCTTGGGCCAGCTCAGGGACCGTTGGAGGGCACCCCTGGAGATCCTAACAGAACTCTCGGAGATATATCTGGCTTTCCTTGAAGTTACTCATTACTACCAGCAATCTGTGCAGATAGCCTTAGTTAGCCGTCAAAGTTGATTGTTCTCTGGGGCTTGACAACTCTAGAAGTGTTTTGAGGTTCGAACAAGGCAGTCTTGTGAATAGTACTGAAAAGGGCGGGAGTGGGGGGGCTGATTTTAGGATCTCAGAAGTCATCCTTATTACCACCGTGCTCTGACTTTCTCAGCAGCTGCCTGCCAATCTAGGCAGATGTCTCACTTTCTATTTTCTCTCTTTCCAGTTCACGTTTTCACTTTAATACCCAGTTGGGACAAAATGCTTGGGCTTGGGCTTTTAAATGGTTTTGACAGTAAAGATAGGTATTTAGGATCCCTTTAGTCCTATGGCCGAAAACCTGAGTTTTTCACATTTCCAAAGAATCACCAAAACCTAGATCACAAAAATCAAACCTGTAGTTCAGGATAGGCCACGGAGAAGACATCCGGTGAACAGAACAATGCTTTATAACATAATGGGCATTTAGAGTAGTACCCCCATTTGGGGTACTTTTTAGTATTAGTGGCTTGAATCAGAAAAAAAAGTTTTCCCTTGCAACTTATAACTTCTCAGGCACTTGTAAAATCCCAGATACCAGTTTGAAACTATTTCGGGTCTTACAGCTCTTTGAGATGTGCTGAGAGCTGTAAGCCATGAGCCTGTTGAATTGAAGCCCAGGAAAATTAGATTAAGTCCCTTTGGTTTATACACTGGTTGATGAGGAAATGGGTTTACACAGATTGAGATTACTAACATCTAATTGGGGTGTCTGAGAAGGGAAGAAGGTAGCATTTAACAATGCATCAGCTTCGAGTCAGCAGTTCTGTGTCTACCTTCCTGTTGTTCCTGACGCCTATAAATTTCTTCTAGTCTGCTTTGCATGTATGTTGGTTATCTTGGTGAGAACCCCCTTGAACTTCATAACTGTCTTACCACGCCACAGGTATCTTTGGAAAGTCTCCCTTCACTAGGGAGACAGATGGTGTTTATCCAGTTGTCACATTCTATAGGGAGGGCAGGGTGTGTTGACTTTCTTATTTTAGGAAAAGGAAGGTAGAAATTTAGTGATTATAGGTAGGTATATTCCAAGAGGCAAAACTTGTGCACTCTTTCAACCTTTGGGCAATGGCACCAGGGAATATTAGAAACTCTAACTTCTAGGTATTGTTTGGATGGTAACTTAGACAACACATGCAGAGCTGACATGGTGGGATTCTGTCCCCAGGGGTACTTCGGTCTTTGGTGGAAGCATCCTGCTCAGGTGTGTCGGTACTGAGCCTGTGTGAGAAAGGTGATGCCATGATTATGGAAGAGACAGGGAAAATTTTCAAGAAAGAAAAAGAAATGAAGAAAGGTAAAAAAAAAAAAATCCCCCACTAATTCCCCAAGTTTGACCCTTACTCAGTCCTGTTTGTTTTATTGTAATGATGTAACCCCCACCTGAGCGCTGGTTGAGATATTTGGAAATTTGGAATGGCAGGTGGGATGCAAGCCGTTTCCTACCCAATCCAAACTGATTAAACAGGCAAGACCCTGAAGAAAATCCTTCCATTTTTCGGAGGGGCAACAGGGCTCCGAGAGAGAGAGAGATTGGGCGAGAGAGGCAGCAAGGCAGTAAGGCTGATGATTGTCTCTTTACAGGTATTGCCTTTCCCACCAGCATTTCAGTAAATAATTGTGTATGTCACTTCTCCCCTTTGAAGAGCGACCAGGACTATATTCTCAAGGAAGGTGACTTGGTAAAAATGTAAGCGTAAGCCATTTTAGAGCACTTGTCTTTTTCCTAAGCGTTTGCGTAGTGCTAGTTGCCAATGCTGTGCTCTGCTCTTGCCTTTTAGTGACCTTGGGGTCCATGTGGATGGCTTCATCGCTAATGTGGCTCACACTTTCGTGGTTGATGTAGCTCAGGTAGGTGGCCTGCCTTGAACTTGTTCCACCTGTGGGGAGTGGGGGAGAATATGCTGCTGCTTGCTTCTTATTCCCACTCCCTACCACCAAAAACGTTTTGAGAGAGTCCCTAGAGACATAAAAGGAGAAAAGTGTTTTCTCTCCTGCTCATTGGCTGGCCTTGCATAGTGACCAGTTGAGTTAAAGTGCTTTCCAGAAAGGCACTTATTGCATTTCCTTATCTACAGGGGACCCAAGTAACAGGGCGGAAAGCAGATGTCATTAAGGCAGCTCACCTTTGTGCTGAAGCTGCCCTACGCCTGGTCAAACCTGGAAACCAGGTAAGCTGTTTAGTCCAGCTCCAGAGATGATAGAGCCAAAGATGCAGTAGTCAGCTGTAGCTCTCAGCTCTGTTGAATTGCCAGCTTCTCCTGCAGCCCCCTTATAAAACAGCTTTTTCTTTTTTTTTAAGTAAGCTCTGCACCCAAGGTGGGGCTTGAACTCATGTCCCTGAGATAAAGAGTCGCGTGCTCTACTGAGTGAGCCAGCCAGGTGCCCCTAATACAGCTCTTTAAAGGTAGCTTTATCTTAGAATGGGATTTTTGAAAGAGAAGAGGCAGTTGACTCTGAGTGCCTATCATAAGTAAGTTCCATGCTGGGTGGACGGGGATATATGGTCCTTTCTTCATGGAGCCTAGAGATCCTTCCTTATTCATGTTTTGGATGTGCATCTTTTCCTAAAATAATTTGAGGTATATCGCTTACAGTAAAACACATGTAAAAAACAAAAACAAACTTTTCAAACTTACTACTTAAGTAATCTCTACACCCAACATGGGGCTCAAACTCACATCCCCAGAATCAAGAGGCGCCTCGCCCTTCCAACTGAGCCAGCCAGGTACCCCCAAAAAATGCAACTTTGAAAGCTTATAAAACGGAAATCAGTAACCTGGTGGCAGAGAGAGGCCAAAGGTTCTGTGCCTTGCAAGACAATATTAGGAAGCCCAGGGATCATGAACTGTCATGAATTAATAAATTTTACATCCTAGATTATGAGTGGAGACATTTTTTCTAACACTTCAGTCTCCAGGGTTCTGTTCAATACTTAAAGCTTCCCCCCTTTTTGTCCCCCCTGTGCTCTCTTGTTTTTTATCCTTTTAATCAGTTTGTACTTCATCCCCATTGTTATTCGGTTACATCATTTTTACTTAAACCTCTGTCTTGGTTTCCTTATTATGATACCTACTTCATACAGTTGTCATGAAACACTTTGAACAGTGCCTGGCACATAGTAAGCAATTGTGTTGGCTATAATTACTTTGCACATTGATTATTTTTATTCTCTATATACTAACTACTGTGTATCTCCGCTGGAAGGTAGTGTTGTATAGTGGCTCTGGTAGAGATATGACACACATCAGAATTTCTGGGCTCTTGCCCTGTTGCCACCCCTTACTGTTTAAAAATAACTTTGGGGCGCCTGGGTGGCTCAGTTGGTTAAGCAACTGCCTTCGGCTCAGGTCATGATCCTGGAGTCCCAGGATCGAGTCCCACATCGGGCTCCCTGCTCGGCGGGGAGTCTGCTTCTCCCTCTGACCCTCTTCCCTCTCGTGCTATCTCTCATTCTCTCTCTGTCAAATAAATAGATAAAATCTTTAAAAAAAAAATAAAAAAAAAAATAACTTTGAATTCAGATTTCCTCACCTGCAAAATAGGAAAAGTAAAATTGTCACTTATTGTCACGGGGTTGTTGTGACAATTGAGATGATCCTTGTAAAGTACCTAACACATAGGTTAGTAATATTAGTTGTGGTTACTTACTCTCTTTTTCATTTTGTTGAATGAAAGAAATGAAATAGCTTAGATGGGAATCAGATTATATTTGAAAGAGGTAAAAGGGGGAAAATCAGAGCTTGTTCCCTCTCCACAGATACTGTGGAATAAACACTGGATTTATCACCAGGAAACCTGGGTTTATTCCAGTTTCTTTCAGTTAACTGGCTTAACTCTGGGCAAATCTCCTAACCTTTCTGAGCCTCAGTTTCTGCATCTTCTAAATTGGGATATGGGATATAGATCTGCCCTATTCACCTTTAAGAATTGTTGTCTAGTTAGACCATCTTTGTGAAAGCACTTTGTAAAATGATATGCAAATGTAAGGTATTTTTAGGTTATAGGGATAATAAGGGCAATGAAATGAAAAACCAATGAGAATTGTTGCTCTTGATGGAGGATATGGAGATTCTCAGTTCTTTTATGCTTTTCATTCTCACGGTAGAGAACTTGTTGGCCCCTGTTACATATCTCACCTGTTATTTGATCTTGTACTTGTAGAACACACAAGTGACAGAAGCCTGGAACAAAGTTGCCCACTCGTTTAATTGCACACCAATAGAAGGTGAGACCTCAGATAACAGGGTTGAGGGTCTGAGTGCTTTAGTAGAATTAAGGATTTTGTTCCTTTGAGGATCCATCCTGGCTCTAGCACAGTCTAAGCCAAAACCCTTACTACCCTGAGTTTTCATAGCCAGGCATTTTTCCCTCATTGCCTGCCCCATCAAATGACCTAGATGGGTGGATTTGGAAACCTTTTGGGATTCTAGATGGCTTTGTCCTTTCTACAGGTATGTTGTCACATCAGTTGAAGCAGCATGTCATCGATGGAGAGAAAACCATTATCCAGAATCCCACAGACCAGCAGAAGTAGGTGCCAATTCCACCCTTCACCTTCCACCATCTGAGACTAGTCATGAATGTTTTCTTCCATACGCCCAGCCTAATCGTGTCTACCTTGTACTTCAAACTCCAGGAACTACTCATTGTTTTTATTATTCCCTTTTTATTTCTTTTAGGAAGGACCATGAAAAAGCTGAATTTGAGGTACATGAAGTATATGCTGTGGATGTTCTTGTCAGCTCAGGAGAGGGCAAGGTGAGGAGAGTTTGTCATAGCAAAGAGGGATGCCTGAGGGTGTGTCCTAAGAGCTCCAGACCAAACGTGACCTAACTTACTACTCTTTTAGGCCAAGGATGCAGGGCAGAGAACCACCATTTACAAACGAGACCCTTCTAAACAGTATGGCCTGAAAATGAAAACTTCGCGTGCCTTCTTCAGTGAGGTTGAAAGGCGTTTTGATGCCATGCCATTTACTTTAAGGTACTACGACCTCACTTAGCAAGAACGGGACTTGGAACCAATCTGATTCATAGACCACACACCCAAGAACACTGTTCCTTCTCCCCGCGCACCCCCCTCCCACCCCGCCCCTGCCTAGACTTGTAGCTCCAGCCTGCATGCATGCCTTCTCTCCTTCTCCCCATTGCCCTCTCATTGAAGGTAATGTGAAAGAGCAATCCTAAGCATGATTTCTGCCTGAGGGTAGGTGCTATTTAAAACCAGGAGGAAAATGGTAAGACTTGATAGAGGGTTAAGGATACCTGAATTTGTCTTCCCCCACCCAGAGCATTTGAAGATGAGAAGAAGGCCCGGATGGGTGTGGTGGAGTGCGCCAAACATGAACTGCTGCAGCCATTTAATGTTCTCTATGAGAAGGAGGGTGAGTTCTAAGAGAGAGCTTCACTTTGGAGCCCCTGATTAGGGTCCCCTCCCTCTAGCTTACAGAAAAGAGTATGACAAGGGAGCATTTTACCAAAAACACTTCCTTTCTCCTGTAGGTGAATTTGTTGCCCAGTTTAAATTTACAGTCCTGCTCATGCCCAATGGCCCCATGCGGATAACCAGTGGTCCCTTTGAACCTGACCTCTACAAGTCTGAGATGGAGGTCCAGGATGCAGAGCTAAAGGTCAGTGTGTGATGGAAAGTGTGAGCATATAGCACCTGTCCTGGGAATGAGAATGAGGTAGCAACAAAGTCCTGAAAAAAGTTAACGATACTGAGAGTGACACTTCGTGTTTTTTCTACATTGCTCAAAATTTGTTTTCCTTCTTCCTCCTATTTTCCAGGCCCTCCTCCAGAGTTCTGCAAGTCGGAAAACCCAGAAAAAGAAAAAAAAGAAGGTGTGTTACGATCTTTGCTCTCTGGCAGGGTGAACCTGATCCCTCTTTAGTCTATCTTCCCGGGTTGTGGTGGGCATACATATTTCTGTATATCCTTACTTCCCCCCCCCCCCACCTCAGCCCTGACCTAGAGCATTAGGATATTTTTGTCCTTGGTCTCCCAGATACTATTGCAAGTAGTTGGAAATTGAGAAGTCTTCCTCTCCTTTCCATGAATATAGGCCTCCAAGACTGCAGAGAATGCCACCAGTGGGGAAACATTAGAAGAGAATGAAGCTGGGGACTGAGGTGGGTCCCATCTCCCCAGCTTGCTGCTCCTGCCTCATCCCCCTCCCACCACACCCCAGGCTCTGTGAAGTGCAGTTCGTCTTCTCCACCCAGGACCGCCAACAGAGCAGGGTCTCCCTGCCCCCATCCCTGTCCCCACCCAACCCCTTCCAACAACAACCAGCTCCAACTGACTCTGGTCTTGGGAGGCCAGGCTTCCCAGCCACCGAAGACTACTTTAAATAGAAAAGAGAAATTGAATAATAAAATCAGGAGTCAAAATTCATCGTCTTCAAGCCCCTCTTTCTAGCCTTTTTCTACTACTGTCTGCTTGGTCAAGGTTTATGGCCCTAAAACAACAGGGAGAAGGCTAAAGTAGCCACCACCACTAAAAACTCAGCTGAAATTTTTTTATACCACTCTAGTGTCAGCATTTTCCCATCTGTTGGGGCTTGTTCCTCTCTTTTCCCACTCTCCCCAGGTATTTTACCAGGTCTCAAAATAGAGAGGAGCTATATTCTTCAGATTGTTTTTATTCACACATGGCAGATTCCTTTTCTGATCCAGACTGTCTGGTTAGGCCCCTCTCATTTTTAGGAGCCGGAGCCTGCATTTACCAAGGGATTCTCATCTGTCAAATGGATCCTCATTTGTAAATCTCTTTAGTCATTTTTGTTCCACAGGACTTTTTTTTTTTTTGTCTTCACAAAGCTGTAAAGGAGTAATCCATCTCAACCTTGTCTATTTCTTTGGAGTCAGTCGGGGTGCGGGGGGGGGGCGGTGCATTCCCTTGCTCCATCTTAGAAACCTGAGCTGGAAGCTCAACTGTGGTTTTGTTCCCTGTTTGAAATATTTTGACCTCCCTCCCTGAAAGAAAGACCAGGAACCAGAGGAGCAGACTGACTGAAGAGACAACTCCTGGCTTTTTGAAGCTGTGGACTTGGATTGGATGAATTGCTAGGGGTTTGGAGAGAAAGGTGATGAATTTCAGTACCTCTGGCATGCTGTCCCAGGGAACTAGGGCTCCCGCTAACTTATGAGGTTTTTAAACATGTTGAAAATGACATGGCGTTAAAATAAATTTGGATTTGCTCATAATCATGTGCCTTTGTATGCTGCTCTTATTTGATGGAGGTGGGGGAAATGTCAGTTGAAGTGATGGTCATTTGGAACTAGTTTTCTATATTGCCATATTCTGCCTTTTTAAAAAGAAATACTGTGGGTTGGGAAGACCTAAATCCTGGATTCTCTGAATTAAAACAGTAAAATTTTTTTGAAAGTTTTTAAGTTTTTCTAGAGTAAAACCTTACCCCTTATTGGTGACAGTTTGTTCAGGACAAGGTGTACTGCAAAAAATAAAGCACTGTATACAAGTGGTTATCTTGATTTAGGAAGCCATAAAGAATGCCTTTACTATTACAAAATTTTTCAGGGCCAGTCTGAGATGGGTGGATAATTTGTTAGACTTAGATGTGAGGCATGCTGACCTGGAGATACTATAGTAAACAAAACGGCATAGGTCCCTTCATAAGAGCTTATGAACTACAATTGACCCCTGAACAACATGAGGGTTAGGGGCACCAAGGTGCTGGCACAGTTGAAAATTCATATATAATTTTTGGCTCCTCAAAGCTTAATAGCCTACTGTTGACCAGAAGCTGTAGGATAACACTTGATTAACACATATTACATGTTATACGCATTATATACTCTAGTACAGTAAGCTAGAGACAGTAAGAAAATCAGAGGCGTGCCTGCGTGGCTCAGTCCTTAAGCGTATGCCTTCGGCTCAGGTCATGATCCCAGGGTCCTGGGATCGAGCTCCCTGCTCCCTGGGAAGCCTGCTTCTCCCTCTCCCACTCCCCCTGCTTGTGTTCCCTCTCTCGCTGTGTCTCTGTCAAATAAAATCTTAAAAAGAAAAAAAATCAGAGGGAAAGAAAATACATTTACAATATTGTGTGTATATTAAAACTCCACAAGTACGTGTGCCCATGGCAGTCAAACCCGTGTTCAGGTGTCAGCTGTAGTGGGCTATCAACAGGGAAATCCTGGTGGACTTGATAGAATGTTGCTGGGGTTTTTTATTCTCAAAATTTTTTTCATATTCTGATGGTGACAATACTAGAACTACTTAAAAGCTTGGAACGAGGGTCCTAAGTGTAAAAAAAAGTTTTTTCCCCAGAGTTAAAAAGGTGAAGTGTTACCGTATAAATTATAAAGGGAAACCACGAAAAAAGGATGATCACCAAAAGCCTTACAGTCTCTTATTATAAAAGGTGACGTCTGTATGGTAGAGGGTTCTTTTTCGTCCTTCCTAAGTCAAGTTTCCTATACCCAAACCTATGGGTATGTTTTCTGAGTGCTTCTGACCTGACCATACCGTGAAACTGGGAAGTTCTTTATCGTAACACCAAATATTCTCACTCTAGAGAAGACAGCTGATCTTGCTTCCTCTGTTGATATGATCTTCACCCCTCGGTAGAGGGAGAGTCACTGAAGTATCTTCTGAACAAGATGCACTGTGGCCAGGAACCCTGTGACATTCATTCAGCCTCAGGTATTGTGGGGAAGGGCCGTGGTTGACAAGAAAAAAGCGTTGATCTAAATTACAAAGGTCTCTCTTTGTAGTATGACGGCTTTCTCGACTCCCCACTTTACATCTTCCCACGTTCTGTAATCTTAGGACCTTCGTAAGTTCCGAGATAGAATCTCCCTACAGCAGTTTAGAAAATAAACCAGTAAAAGAAATTGGGAATTTTTGGAGAGTCCGCACTTATCCATAATAAAATGGAGGGTGTCCCCAGGAAACTGCAACTCCCATGAAGCGGTGAGAGGGGAAGGCGGAAGTCACTATCATCTGCTGTCGGCATCTCTCGGTCCCACATTGGAAATATGTGCTCACGTTGTAATAATACAATGGCCTCATAAGAAAACTGGGGAAGGGGAATTTTGTAACTCAAATTTAAAATGTTTCCAAGAGAGCTGCTAATTCAATCACTTAATCTGGCACCTGAGGGGCTGAAACCAATTGTTACTCCCCTTGGGTAGTCCCGCCCCTGGAGGAAGAGTGAAATAGCGGAAGTGACGACACAACTCCCTATTAAATAGTTGGAGGCGGGCCGCTGGCGCTCTCTCGGCCTTAGCGCCATCTTCTTGGGTGAGTGTAATTGCTGCCTGTGTTCGGATTCCGTGCACAATCCATTAACATCTGATCTCTGCACTTGCCATCATTACAGCAAACTAACTGTGGCCTTTTTCTCTTTGCCTGTAGAAACCTCTGCGCCATGAGAGCCAAGGTAAGCAGTCCCTGGCAGTAACCTGAGGCAGTCGCTACTGGTGATGGGTGGGGGGGATAGCCAAGCACGGGAAGTCCGCCATGGTTCCCGAGCCGCTGGGTTCTCAAGGGTGCCGAAGAGCTCGTGGGGAGGAAGGATAATTTGGGGAGAAGCAGAGGAGGAGGTGGCTATGTAGTGTGGGTAGAGAGGGCGGGAGTAGAAAAGCGCACGCGGGATTCATGTTTATGTCGGCGGGTAAGGGTGGGAGTCCAAATTATTGATAGGGTTACTGCTTGGGCAGGAACCTGCCAGGTTTTAAATAATGCCCTTCACATCCCTGCTTAAACCTGTTACTAAAGCTAATAATCTCTTGTTTTATTCACTGCCTCTGGTTATGATCGGTTGCCAGTGGAGGAAGAAGCGAATGCGCAGGTATGTTGAGACTTGACCGGCCAAAACAGGAAGAGGGAAATGTAGCGTGCCTTGGACAAAACGTGGGAGGAACATTTGGTTTAGAAATCTTAAAGAACTTGTGAAAAACAGTTCTAAGTATTGACTTTACTAGTCAGGGATTGAACACAAGATAATAGGACCAAGTGCTTGTTTGTTTTGCCACCCCAGGTATCGGATGCACATTTCTTAAGATGGGAGGGAAAGACTGAACTTGGGTTTGTGGGCAGGAGATGATTCCCGTGTCTGCTTTTTCAGGCTGAAGCGTAAAAGAAGAAAGATGAGGCAGAGGTCCAAGTAAACCGCTAGCTTGTGCACCCATGGAGCCACAGGAGCAGAAATAAGGAAAGCCAGAGGCCAGGGACGCTGGTACCAATTGTTGGACTGCATGCCTACTTTCTAGAGCTTGATTCAAGGGCTCTAGACCATCGCCATCTGATCGCAACGACCACCTTTGAAGAGACCTGCCTTGTTCATACCAAAACAGTCCCTTTTGGTCCTTTGCCCTGGACCTGTGACTTTCGGGACTAATTCTGTTTTCATTTGTGGCTGGATGTAACACGTGTACAATAAATCATCTCTTCTGCTGTCTTAGCTGAAGAAAAAAAATGCTCTTGTCTGATACGTGGTTTTTATGGTTCCATTGGCTGGGGGGTTCTGGATCAGTGCAGCAGGCCCTCTTGAATACCCCGTGCTGTAGAGTGTCAAGCACGCTACGTGGGCTACAGTGACTCCCGTCCTTGGCTAACATCTGGTCCCCGGGTCCTCGGAGCAGCTGGATAACTGGGGGGGGCCCCTCCCATACTGGGTGTAGTACAAGCAGGGGGACAGTTTTCAAGGTGGTTCGCGGCCAAGTTAGGGGCAAACCGCGGTCCCGCCCCTACTCTTGGCTGGGCCTACGTTACAGTTACTAAGTTGCCGTTTGGGCGCCCTACTGTGATGTTGGGTTGGGTTGCTATGGTGATACGCAAAGCTTGCCGGGAGCTTCCTGTGGCTAGCTGCACAAGTACTTTGCACACCATAGAGTAGTTCCGGGTCTGTGGCTAGAGTGCCATTTCTTCCGCAGGAAGCGGAAGAGCGATAGGGTAGGCGGCTCTTTGTCGAAGCTAGAGGACCGGCAGGCGGCAGCAGCAACTACGGCGGCGGCGGCAGGTGAGGGAGGCGGGAGACTTAGGTAGAGGCCGCGCCCGGAGGGGAGGAGTCGGGGCCGGCCCAGCAGCTGGGCTCGGCCGGGCTACACAAGGCCCCCCAGGACCGAGCTGTTTCTTTCTCACGCCCCAGGGCCGAGCCCTTTTTCTGACTGACCCTGCTTCGCGAGCAAACGCCAGCTCCGTGACGTCACAGCCCTGCCCATCCCCGCAGCTTGATGTCACCTGGAGTCTCCCCTTCCCGCTTCACTTGTGCTCCCTTAGTGTCCTCCTCGTCTGGTCCACGGCTGAGCGCCGGTCGCACTGCACAGAACCTGGCAAGCTAGAAGACTTGCTGTGGGAAACTCCTAGGACTTTTTCCCCAAACTCTGGGGTGTTGCGAAGCGTCATAATCACCGCCTCCAAGTCTAATCAGCCATGCCACTGCACTGTCAGTCGCTGCCCTTGCACGGCTCCCCATTCAGAGTTTACTAATCTCAACCCTGGACCGGGCTCTGATCCTCACATCTTCCTTCATCTTGAGGCAGGGCACCACTCACCCTTTGTTGACCCAGGGCTAGTTTTCCAACCCGTCCTCCTAGGCTCTCCAGATTAGTTCTATCTTCTTATTCTTTTTACTGACAACTTCTCCCCTTGACAGGTGAAATTCAGCTTGAACTCGAAGGAAATCTTGGAAGTGTTCAGAGCTCTTGCCATTTTGTCAAACTTCTTTATTGAACAAACATTTTATAGTCCTTTGTTCTTACCCCTTCTCCCACCCAGTCTCTGTTTTTTATTCCTGATCAGAACCCAGCAGTGATGTGGAGGTGGAGACCCACAGGAGCCCCGGACTTCACCTGAGCTACCTCAGGTATTGAACTATCCTGGGAGAGTTGGGTGGGGAGGAATATTATACCTGATTATCTGCTTCTGGTGGGACTTGCAACATGGTTCAGGCTTAGAGAGATGGTATTTATTTTTCACCAGATCATTTCACTTTTAGTAAAAGTTTGTATCTTCCTATCTACCATTCTTTTTTCCTTGATTGCTTCTATTCTGGGACTACATGCCTTTGGAGGAAGAGGATCCCTCTTCTTTTACAGATTCTTCTGTAACTCTGGGCTCTGATCTGGTTGGTTCATTTTAGGAAGCCCTGAAGGCAAAGTCAAGGCAATGAGGAAGGTGGTTGGGGGGAGATGAAGACCAAAGAAACCAGGAAAGATTCCCTTATACTCAAGAGGAAACAATATGAAGTTTTTCCTATTTGAACAGCAGGGGGAGCCTGATCACTGCCTTAGAAAGGCTTATGAGGTCAGACACGTGGTGGCAGGGACTCCCAGTCTTCTTGGGGATGTGGAGAGGGGAGGGCTAGAACCAGGGCAGTGGACTGACATTCCAGAGCTCTCTTGGGAAAGAGGAGACTTAAAAAGCTTTTATAGAGTCTATAAATAAAGAGGATTTTTATGGGGTGAGGAATGGTGTGTTTTGATGTCAGTGGGATCTTCTAATGGGGAATAGGAGGGGGGTGTAGAATGGGGAAAGAAAGGTCACTTGTTCCTGTGAAATTAACTCCTTCCTCCCACCTTGATCTTACCACAAATGGCTTGGTCCTTTGTGGAGGGGGCGGTCTGTAAGTGGAGATTCCAGCTGTAGAACTCTTACCCTGAAATGGAGTAGAGGGGGCTGACCTTGAGAGCGGTGGTGAGCTGGGAGAGAATACTAAAAAATGATAGGTTTAGGGACTGCCCTCAAGCTGGTGACACCAATCTCTTCACTTAGGATTTCCTGAGGTCTTGAGATCTGATACTTCACAGTGCCCTCACCTGAGATCCCATAGAAGAGGAGTTAAGGGAAATTTTGTCTGCAGTGTCCCAATATCCAGAGCCCTAGTAAGCTCACCAGCCCATCTTGGCCACTTCCCAGTCTCCTCCTAACCTACTGAGACACTGAGACAGCAGTTTTAATTTCACTTCCTCGACTTTAATAAGGTCAGCTCAGAAGGGGAAATAAAACCCAACACTATTTTCTCCTTGGCCTAACATCATTAGTGAGATGAGGTAGCTTCACCCCAGCTCCCCCCCCCCCCCCCCCCCCCCCCCCCCCCCCCCCGCCATTAGTCAGGCTAGTGTGAATCATTCTGGCCCAGACCAGGTGCACAAGGGCCTGGGCGGGACTTCTGACAGGCCAGCCAGTCCAGCCAGAATTCTCATCCCTTAGATTTTCCATCTACAAAGCCATTGCCCCTCTGGCCTGCCTCTTGCTGGACTGCCTGCTGTATAGCTGGGAAGAATGTGGACTCTCTGGAAGATTCCTCTTTGACACAGTTCTCCTCTTTCCTAGTGGTCACCAAGGGTGGCAAGAAAAAGAAGAAAGCCCTGAGTTGGGGGGGACCAGGATGCCTGACCGGGACAGCTATGCCAACGGCACTGGGAGCAGCAGTGGAGGCCCTGGAGGCGGTGGCAGTGAGGAGGCCAGTGGGGCAGGGGCGGGCAGTGGCGGGGCCAGCTCAGATGCCATCTGTAGAGACTTCCTGAGGAATGTGTGCAAGCGAGGCAAGCGTTGCCGCTATCGCCATCCAGACATGAGTGAGGTATCCAACTTGGGGGTGAGCAAAAATGAGTTCATCTTCTGCCATGACTTCCAGAACAAGGAGTGTAGCCGCCCTAACTGCCGATTCATCCATGGCTCCAAGGAGGATGAGGATGGTTATAAGAAGACAGGAGAGCTTCCCCCTCGGCTGAGGCAGAAAGTGGCAGCCGGCCTAGGCCTTTCACCAGCTGACCTGCCCAATGGCAAAGAGGAGGTCCCTATCTGCCGCGACTTTCTCAAGGGTGACTGCCAGAGAGGAGCCAAGTGCAAGTTCCGCCACCTGCAACGGGATTTTGAGTTTGATGCTCGGGGTGGAGGCGGCAGCGGTGGTGGCGGGTCAACAGGCCCGGTCCCCCCAGGACGACGTCATGACCTCTATGATATCTACGACCTCCCTGACAGGGGCTTTGAGGACCATGAGCCAGGCCCCAAGCGCCGCCGAGGTGGATGCTGTCCCCCAGATGGCCCCCATTTTGAATCCTATGAATATAGCCTGGCTCCACCCCGAGGGGTGGAGTGCAGACTGCTGGAGGAGGAGAATGCCATGCTCAGGAAGCGGGTGGAGGAGCTAAAGAAGCAGGTCAGCAACCTGCTGGCCACCAATGAGGTACTGCTGGAACAAAATGCCCAGTTCCGCAATCAGGCCAAGGTCATGACCCTGAGCTCTACTGCACCAGCGACGGAGCAGACTCTGGCCCCCACCGTGGGCACTGTCGCCACTTTTAACCATGGCATTGCCCAGACTCACACTACTCTCAGCAGCCAGGCTCTACAGCCTCGCCCCGTATCCCAGCAAGAACTGGTGGCCCCCACTGGAGCTCCGGCTGCTCCCCCAACTAATGCTGCACCTCCTGCTGCTCCACCACCCCCACCCCCACACTTGAACCCAGAGATCACGCCATTGTCAGCGGCTCTGGCTCAAACAATTGCCCAGGGAATGGCACCCCCACCTGTCTCCATGGCTCCCGTGGCTGTATCTGTGGCTCCTGTGGCCCCTGTGGCTGTATCGATGGCCCAGCCCTTGGCAGGAATCACAATGAGCCACACCACCACTCCCATGGTGACTTACCCCATCGCTTCCCAGAGCATGCGTATCACAGCCATGCCACACTGAGGGGGCTAACGGACACTCCCCTGGTATAGCCTCCCAGGGCTGGGGTCAAGGGGCCCTTACCCGCTCGCCTAGCCCTCCCAGGCCCTGTCTAAAGGGCTCAATCAAGAACTAGGACGAGAGACTACAAGGAGTTTGCTTCTGAGAAGGGGTTGGGCTGGTCTGTTTTCTCTCACCTCCCTTTTATGAGGGTCCTCTTGTCCATCTTCCTTCAAGCCTCACAGAGGGGGCTTGCATAGGAGTGCAGACTGAAGCCAGGAGAAAGGAAGGACTGACCGAGGGGCTGTATGTCCCCTGATGGGAAGACGGGGACATCCTGGTCTTGTCCTCTCTTCTGTATAGCACAGGTTCCAGCACTAGCTTTGTAAGAAAAAGAAATAGCCTGCCTAGAGGGAAAGCCAGGAAAGATTGGGAAGCAGGTGGCCAGGAGAGAAGGCCTGATAGGAGCCTTCAGACAATTGGGGGCCTAGTAGAGTTGGACAATATAGGAACTGTTCCTGGGCCCATGGGAAGGTGGGGACCATAGTACTCCAGCCCAAAGACGAGGGGAGCATTCATTACCTTGGCTTGGCCTGGAAATCCATAGGGCAGGGCCCACCACTTTCCAAAGAAATAAAAAAAAGAATTATTTTTAACAAATGGAGGCAGTGAAAACTTGCTTAGATATTCTGTGTGGAAGATGGGAACAGTAAATAGATCTCATGCCAAAATGGGATAAAGACCCACCCTCACATAGCTTGGATAAGGTTGGGCTGAGGCCAGGTGAAGGGTAGGGACCCAGA